AGAGAGAGAGAGAGAGAGAGAGAGAGAGAGAGAGAGAGAGAGAGCGAGAGAGCGATGAAGAGAGAAAATCATGTGAACCTCATTTGTGTGTCGCCAATGTATGGTAATGAGTCAGGTCAGTCTGTTATGAGCCATAAATCCACCATGACTGACATGTTTTCCGATTCACGCGGTAGCATATTTTGTGCAAGCAATTAGAGAAGAAGAAAATTGCACTTTGTTTTATTATGCATTATATTCTTTTCTCTGGTGGACTGTATAATTAGTTGAAGCGGCGCCTATAACATCCACTAGACAAACTTTCTAGCAAAAAGACATAGCATTAGTAACATTCAATGATAAATTTTATAATTTTGCTATTTATCTGTTTCTTCTTCTGTTGGCGCATTATTGTTTTGCTATTTGTATTCCATACGTGCTGCTGTATCAGTTGATTCTATCGAACAGCTCTAATCTCTCTTGATCATGATACGAACGAAAGTTGGTAAAATGAACTAAATGAGAGAAGCAAAAAAACAAAAACAATTTTCTGACAGTAACGGAGTATAATTTGCAATGATAATATTATCGTTGTATACTTTCCATTGAACGGTGTTTGCTCGGCGTTATTTGTTAATTAACGATTTCGAATTGACTTTGCTTTTTTTTCTCGCTACACACTCCTCTCACGCTCTTTCTTCAATTTGTTTGATTTTTTTTATTTCTATTTTAATCAAAATCATCTAAAACTGTTCTTCTCATTCTTCTTCGATTTGTATTTTCCTTATTTATTCATGCAGATATTTTACTACGGCACAATTGATGGCTAATGGATTTTTAACTGCACAAGGAATACCACCGCATGCTTTATTCGATCCACATCGTCCCAGCGAAAGTTTAGCCAATTTGTTTGATTTTATTGCTCGCGAACATTTGCACACAAAAATATCGACAATTGTATACGTTAAACCGGCTGTAACCTATGTAAAGGATTTAGTAAAATTGGGAAAAGCCCGTGGTTTATTACAAAAATTCAATGCAACGGAACTCAGCGACAAACTCACCGACACCGTTAATCTAGAGGTATATTCCAAAACATAATAACAAAAAAAAATCAATAAACAATTTACAATTCAAATTTTTCTAGCATTTTGTTTGGTTCTTTAGACGAAATTGTATGCGTAGAAGCATACATGTTTCACATCTATTTTGACATTCTAAGCATAGATTTTTGAATACCAAAACAAGAATGAAAAGAAATAACCTGTTAATTTCTTCTTCGGTATTTTTTATAAGGTTATCGAACCAGTTTTGAAAGTTCATCGTGCCTATCGATTTGCATCTCGTTCACCGCAATGTGATAAATACGTATTGTGTGAAGTGAATTCACATGATCCCAATGAGACGCTCGGATTGGCCGGTTTTAAAGCTGGAATTACGAAATTCAGTAGCATGGCCGCGGCTTGGTTCATTGGAAACGAAACGGGCACACCATTTTGGACACTTTTCAGTATCATTTCCGATCCATATGATTGTCAAGTATGTATTTTAACCATGATTGTGGTGTGCATTTGCGTGTCGACCAAAAGTTTATTCAATAATTTCGTAATTTTTATTACAGCGGCGCTATCCAGTCGACTGCACTGGTTTTCATGAAGGTGAAGCGAAAGTATCAACAGAATACATGCATAATGAACTCTAAGAACTTTACAGTTTTAATTAACACCGAGAATCGCATAAAAAGAATAAATTCAAAACTGATTTCAAATAATCGAAATCATTAAAAATACCAACAATGGAACGCAGATAAAATACAAAATAACATTGAACAACTTTAATCGACAAATTGCGATGAATTTTGTTGATATATTTATAAAATATTTTTGATGTGACACTCACAATCCATGGTCTATTCACTTTCTATTCAAATAAACAAAACAAAAAATGCAAATCATTCGAGTGCGACATGTGCCTCTAATTAGGGAAATTGAAATTAAGCATAAAGATCTGTTGATATTGGCACTATCATTGAAACAGAATCTAACACCTCCAAGAATATAAATTTTAGTCGTAATTCTCATATTAAATAATTTGTCATTGTGTGATAAGCCTGTTTATATACCTATATTTAAAAAAAAAAACATACAAACGTAATTTAAATCGAACAAGACAAATCCGTTTCTGTTTCAGTTTTTTTTTTTTTGTAAAAGTAACAGAATAAAAAAAATTGTTAATAAAAGAGAAAAAAGCATTGTGTTTGCTTTATTTATTGAGAACCATGGTATAATAAGGTGAGCTTGATTGAATATGGTAATATCGAAATAGCATCTTCTTCTTCTTCTTTCAATTCTTCTTGATGTTTTTGCAAATCCAGTCCATTCCTTCCTGTAAATTAAAAAAATGTATTTTTTCTAGACCGCATGGGTTGATGCATTCGATTATACCTTGATTCCGGTTCCTTGGAGTGCCGAACATTCTTGAATTTGCCACGTACGATCTTTCAATTTTACCAAACCGATTGCTTCGGCCACTTCAGACACTTTCAATACATTCTCTAAATCTTGTTTATTTGCAAATATCATGATTGGCACATCGTTTAATTTTTCATCTGCCAATAATTCGGCGAACTCATTGCCTGTTTCAATCAATCGCTTACGATCACTGCAATCAATTACATAAATGAGTGCATCTGTATTCTCAAAGTAATTTTTCCAATATGGTCGAATTTTACTCTGTCCACCTTTTGAAAATAAGATAAAAACCACATTACACATATACACGTCACACTATGACGTGATCGAAGAAATAAAATAAATTAAATACCAATATCCCAAAAATTTATCTTGAAACCTTCGGCGGCAACGCTTTTTATATTAAATCCGGCGGTTGGTGTTACTTGTGTCACTTCTTCCGATGCCAATTGCTTCAGTAATGTTGTTTTACCCGAATTATCCAATCCCAACAGAAGAATTCGCACTTCTTTTTCAGGTGCTGATCGTAATTTTCTCAACAACGATAACAAACCCTATACCAATTAAACGAAATCGATTTTCATTGCTGTGTATTTTCACAAAAAACCAACAACAAATAACTTCAATAAAATACAACCGAATACTTTGTTGATTAAGTATGTATTTAATGGAAATGAACGGTGTTACCGTTGTTCGTGCTCAGAAATGTCAATGTCATAGGTTGGAGTGTTTACTTTGATTTCATTCAAAAAAATAAAAACAAATAAACAATACAAAGATGTTGTGCTAGTTCCTTTCTAGAGCACATGATCCAATACAGTTACTATAGAAACCGTTTTACAAACATTTATCGATATATTATCAATTGATGTTGTTTGCTGTTTATCGTTTAATTTAATAAAAAAACAAACTAAATATACGATTTCTCGTTCGGCAATTGAAATTTTTTGTGAGGCCATCACAGTGTAAAATTGTCTTACCATTTTAAAAGCCGAACCCTGAACTGAAACAAACGAATCCAGAATGAATGAGTGAAAAGAAATCTACCGATTTGTTTAATTTGCGAGCAATACTTTTCGACTGCTTTTGCGCTCGTTTCACAGCAAACTGTCAATAGTCCAGTAAAATATCCTTATCGGTTAAATTGGTTGTAATGACAGGAAAATCGTTACCATGACTTCATTTAACATTTCTTGCACCGGATTCAATGGTTTTGGACAGTTGAAAAACCTACCAAAAGTCATTACATCGCTGGAAGGTTTGTTAATCATTATAGATTTTTTTTTTATTATATTGAAACTGACTTGTCGTTTTTTTGACTCTGTCTCTTCCTCTATTCACAGAATTAAAACTTGAATCGCTGTCATCGATAGAATCACAGAAAATTCTTCTAAAATGTTCATGGAACTATTGTGCATATGCAAATGACAATGATTTATACGTTTGTGGTTGTTTTAATGGAAATGGATTACAGGAACGTCGATTCCCCTTTGAATATTCGATCAAAGATATTGCGTGTACTGAACACTATTGTATCGTTCTTCTAACTATTGGCATCGCATATAAAATAAATTGCCAAACATTTGAATTGAATGAAATAAATTCAACCATTATACCACGTTCAACATTAGATGATCGATTAAAGCCAAGCAGAATATTTGGCGTTTTTAGCGCACAACGGGAAAATGAGCTGAATGAAAGCAAAGACGAATTTATTACCCACGTTGCAGCCGGACGATCGCTTTCCGTTGTTATCACCAATAAAAATAATGTTTATAATTTGCCATTAAAAGTATACACATTTCCGTCGCATGTTAAAATTAAAAAAATCTGCTGCGGAAATGAGCATTGTTTAATTTTAACGACTAATGGTGATTTATATGCATTTGGCAGCTCGTCGTAGGTTCACTCCCAAACATTTTTTATCATTTTATTGCTTTTAATTGCTTCTATTTGTATATAGACGCGGCCAACTTGGTTTGGGCACACTTGACACAGAGGAGCAACCAATTTTGATTGAGGACTTGGCGGGTATAAAAGTAAACAATTACATGAAACGTTCAGTCAAAGAAAAAATGTATGAAACTATTTTCAATTATGTTTTTCTCACTTTGATTAATTTCAGATAATTGATGTAGCAGCCGGTGGATGGCATAGTGCGGCAATATCAGCATTTAATGATTGTTATGTATGGGGATGGAATGTAAATGGTCAAATCGGATTACCTTTGTACGAAACATTTGAAATTGTGGAAAAAAATGGCGAAAAACGAACGGAACGTCAAAAATGTTCGACCGTTTTTGCTGCGCCAGTCATTGTTAATTTGCCCAAGCCCAATGTCGATGAGGCCGACGATGACGATGAAAATATATTTTTACAAAATCAATATCATCCAGTAGCAGTGAGTGCAGGTACACGGCATACCGTACTTAAAATCGATGATGGTTCAATTATGGCCACCGGATGGAATAAGTATGGACAACTGGCAAGCGACCAACTCGATAAAGACATCGATCATTTTCAAAAAATTGACAAAAAGATTTCAGACGATGGTCAAATTATATGCGGTGATTGGTGTACATTTATCGTTTCAAGAAATAAATGAATAACAATATAACTTTTTTTTTGTTTCTCTTACGTTTATGTTCGAAATTAGAATACAATCAAACTGGATGGATAG